TAAGGGAAAACAATTCTTTTTTTAAAACCTGAGTTTTAAAAACATTTCATCTGCAATTTCTGAAAATTGAAGAAGTTAAACGAAAATGCGACTTGAATATCTTTCTTCCTCATTTTTATCATACGAGTGAAAAAAGATGCCGTCGTTTTTGCGGGAAAAAAAAAAATGAAATTCATTACTTGCCATTTTCAAGTAAAATTATGCAATAACTACTCATTTTCCAAAAAGTTTACATGATCGTATTTACAGATATCTTAATGAACAAAGGTTTTATTAAGGAAAACTTTTCTTTTTTCAGTATCTCGAAAATTGGAGGTTCAACAAAAACGTTGTTCGCAGACGGACTGATATGGCAAGACGTTTTGCCATAAATCGATTTTGCGCTCAAGGACCCCTCAAGCGAATTTGGACTACACAACATGTCAGAACGCGTAATTTACATACACACGGGAACAAGGTTTATCCAGTTTTTTATTACATGGGCCCCGCAATACGAGTCGAAAATTCGCTCTTTCTCTTTTCTTTCCTTTTCTCCAGTTGACGCCTCAGGGGTCCCGGGCACCGGAAAAGTTTTCTTCCACTCTTCATCTCCAAATCAGTGGCTAAGCCGTACATATGATTTTCATGAAAATAGATATTTCTCAACTGATCTATTAATTTTTACTTGCAACTCCGAGAACATTTTCAAAATTTACTCAAAATGGTTCTAAATTTTACTTTGAATTATTTGCCAGCTTCTAAAGCTGAAAGCGGCTAAATATGAAAGCAGTTCTTCTGAAATTTCGAAAATTGCAAATCTTTTAAATTATTTCAATCCCCCGTTTCAGCGGAATTATGGAAGAACTACTCCAGAAGTAGGCCCTTCAATAATACCATTTTTCAATATGCGTAATTTCCTTGTGATTGAGTGAAACTGGCAAATCTATCTCTTATAAAATACAATGTCGTAAGAGCCTTCGCTTTAGCTGGAGTATACAGAATTCCTTGCTCTTGCGGGATAAGCTTTAATACTCGCATAAAAGAACAGAAAAGGAACTGCCGTCTAGGACATACTGATAAGTCAGCAGTCGCCGATCACGCTCTGTCGGGACGCGGACCCGACATGCGCATTGAAGCGACGGTTGTTCTCTCCACTACCACACACTACTACAAGAGACTCCAAATGGAAGCCGTCGAGATTTACAAACATAAGAACAATTTCAACAGAAAAGAAGGTGCAAAATTAAACAGTACATGGTGCCCGGCACTCCGTAAGACGAAAACTTGGCAGCCAACCGGTGCCGCAGACGTGGCCCAATCAGGCGCGAGCGCGCGAAACTCGCCTTTCACCATTAATACAGGTCCCAGAGCCGCGGAAGCGTCAGTCAACGCGGTGCTGCCAAGGAGGACACTTCGCCCCCACTAGCAACGTTTACAACACTAGAAACGTTTGGACCAGTCTCTGTTGGACCACGGCCTACAAACCAGGAAACAACTAATTAGGATGTATAAACCGGCCGTGAAAGCGTACATTGTCTGCCTATTTTCACTGAATGAAAGGAAACCTCTATGCATATTGCAGCGTATCACGAGCAATACATTCCGTATTATAGACTCAAAATTTCAAGGAGTATAACGCAATACACGAGCAATACAGTAGGGCATAGATTACCGCTTTATATATATATATATATATATATATATATATATATATATATATATATATATATATATATATTCGCGTTTCGGGTAAACAGTTCGTGAGTTGAAAATTAAACCAAGTTTCCTAAACTTAAGAATTTATTTTATATTATTACATAATACACACATTTTCTGTAAAACATAAGAGGAATCATTTTACTATTTCAAATGTTTATTATTTAGATGGGTTTGGTCACAGAAGGTTAATATTTTTTTTAAATAACTACACTAAATCACTTTATAATGTTGAAGTTTTATTTTCCTGTGCTTTGTTTGAGGCGTCAGTATATAATAAGGCGGTAATAAATTAAGTAAACCATCGTAGGCGGTATAAATTAAGTAAATCGCGGTAAAAAATCGTAGAACATTAGTAATTGATTTGCTTATTAGTATTAGTCAACTGTCTATGATGTACTATATTGTAACTAAATAGTTCCATCTTTTGATATCACCATTTTTCAATTGTTTCCAGTCTCTTTGAATTCTAAACATGAAGGAAAGATAATCAAAATAAAATTCCTATGTCTCTTAATCATGTTGCAGATGGTGCTATGTTCAACCAGGAAAGAAGCCTGAAAACCCAACAGAAGCTGAAGAGAGGGGTAGAATGAGTAGGTTCCTTTTTTAATTTTAGGAAATTGTGGCAACAGGAAACTATACTCGGGCTGCAGATATTAGTGGACATTGGGTCAACTATAAAGTATATAATGTTAAAAATCATCTTTTCTGGGGCCTCCATTATTTCATTCAATCACATCAAAGATTTCACCATCATATTAAATAGTTTGCATCTGAAATTTAGGACTTTCTAAAATAATCCATTTGCTAAGTCATTGTGTGTATGCCGTTCACCGTAATCTTTTCTAGTGACATGATATCTGTACCTCAGGAGACGTAGGAAACAATAACCATTTTTGGCAATGGCACACTCAGTGTAATTTCATTGCTCTTTAGAAGGCATTGATTACTTAGCCAGAAGCAGTCAAATCGACACAATATTCATTTTCTTACTTATGCATACAGCGCATTTAAATGGTTCTCCTGTAAAATTGAATGTAGTTCTGTAAAGCTCCGGGTACAGATATCTGTATTAAACGCAACAAGATATTCGTTTTGAAGAGTATTGTAATTTTGTTGATATTTCTGATTATGAAATGTATTTGTGTTCGTGAAAAGTGAAGAGTTATTGCATGTAACAAGTTTATTACTGTCTTGTCATAACTCATATCATTTTGAAGTTACTCCAATGTAACATTTTTTTTATGGAATGATATCAACTAATTAAGCACTAAGAGGGTTTTCGTTTATTTGAAGGTACACATTTTTGCAATCAGTGCTTTGCTGTACTTATTTTATACTAGAACAGGCCTGCCAAAAGTAGCTCTAGGGCAATAGTGGGTATTCAGGTTTCATATGCAATGTTATTTCAAGCACTGTCTGCAATACTATGGGACTATGCAGCAGAGAAGGGAAATTGGAGAGTGGAGGCAAGTGGCCCAGGCGATCCCTCGGATTTCTCATGCCACTGACTGCAGCTCATTGGCAGGCCTGCGCTGGAACCAAAGCAGTAATTTCTTCTTGTTTGCTTATGGGGCATGCGTTGTGAAAGAAGGTTATTGGTACTGATTGTGCATTGAGGGTATTGCATTTAAAACAATGTTAAAAGAAAAAAATGTTTTTGTGCAAAGTGTTTACAATGATTTGTGGTAAACTGCTGTCACTATGTTTATTGAGGAGGTAAAACATTCACTACAAGAATTGCATTACTTTTTAAATTTTATTTCAATGAATTTCAGAAGTCGGGTTAAGGATTTTAAGAATAACGTCATATTTATCACTGGTGAATTAGTGTTCTTCATATCTACTACTTTCTGAGTATTTTTTGGAAAACCCAACTTCTCTCACTGGAAGATAAAATCCTTTTATATATTCAGGGCTTAAGAACTTAACTACTTTAAAACATTGAATGGCTTATGTAGCATTTACTGTTATATTTCGATAGGATAAAAGAATCTTATTTTGCCCAAAAAAAAGATGTCATTGTAGAGAGAAATCATTGTATTGGAGATGTCTGATTTCATGTTAAGTATTCTTGATTGGTTATCCAAGGGATAACTTCAAATTATAAAAAGTTAATTCGATATTTTTTAAAATAGTTGTAAAGGCCATACAAATAGAAATTAACCAACCAAAACTACATGTTAATTTTAATCTTGCGTCCTGGTGGAATTGCTTAGCAAATATTAACCGGTCCGCGTGGGGAGCAGACGGGCCGCGCGTCATCGGCCTTGCGACACAAGTGAGAGGGTAGCGGTTACCTGGGCGCGGCGGCGGCGAAACTCTGCGCGGGAGAGTTTCACAGTGGGCAGCGCGGGCCGCAAGACTCATTCAGCCGGGCACATGTCAACTTTTGCTATTTAAAATATTTGTTTGGGCAAAAATGAGGAGCGCTCCGGACTTGGGTGTTCCTGCTGCACGCTTTTCCCCTTGCCGTCTTGAATGTTCTTACGAAACGCTCCGCCTCTCCGTTGGACTGCGGATGGAACGGCGGTACGCAAATGTGTTGGATTCCATTGCTTCTGCAAAAGTTTGCAAATTCCTGGGACGCATTAAGAGTACCATTGTCTGAAACTAAAGTCGCTGGTAACCCTTCTGTGACGAAAATCTTTTCCAACATTTGTATCGTCTGAGACGACGTGTTCCCCATTTCCACTACATAAGGGTAGTTGGACTTCGCGTCTACTACCACCATCCACATGGACCCCCAGAAGGGGCCGGCAAAGTCTACGTGCACCCTCTCCCATGGCTCTGGTGTTAAATCTGGGGGGGGGGGCGCTTTGATTGAGTTGGCATGCCTCGCATCTTTTCAACATCTGCTCGATGTCGGAGTTGATGCCTTTCCATGCGCAGTGCCGCCGTGCCAGTTGTTTGGTGCGCACAACCCCACAATGCCCCTGATTGCGGAGTTTGAGTACTGTGTGCCTCAAACTCCTAGGTATTACTACTTAAGTGAACTCGTCTCCTGCTAACAACACCCCAGCTTTGCACGAAAGTCTGTCTTTCTTACTGAACCATAGAATGTTTCCAGATGGACATAGAAGAACTGGAGAGTTTTGGTGACTTTCCGCCTCGAAGCACGCACCCAATTACAAAGGAACAGATAAGATCCAGAATTGAAGGCAAGTGCGTCCTCGTCAGGATTGGCCACCCAGATGTTAAGGAAGCAACCGGTCGATGGTTCAGTAAGAAATACAACTTTCGTTGCAAAGCTGAGGTGTTGTTAGCAGGAGACCGAGTTCACTAAGTTAGTAGATACCTAGGACGTATTGAGACACACATATCAACTCCTGCAACTCAGGGCATGTCGTGGTTGTGCGCACGCAACAACAACTGGCACGGCGCACTGCGCATGGAAAGGATCAACCTCCGAATCGAGCAGATTGTGGAAAAGATGCGAGGCGAGCCACTCAATCAAGCGACCCCCCCCCAGAGATTAACACATGGCAGAACCGCAGGAGCATGGGGAGAGGGGTGCACGTAGATTTGCCTGCCCTTCTGGGGTCCATGTGGATGTGCGTAGTAAGACGCGAAGTCCCCAACTACCGCTTAATGTAGTGGAAATGGGAACACGTCGTTCAGGACGATACAAATGTTGGAAACGATTTCGTCAACAGAAGGTTACACAGCGACTTTAGTTTCAGACAATGTACTACTTAATGCGGTCCCAGGGTATTTTGCAAACTTTTGCAGAAGCAATGGAATCCAACTACATTTGCTACCGCGTGCATCCGCAGTCAACGGAGAGGCGGAGCGTTTCGTAAGACATTTCAAACGGCAAGAGAAAAGCGTGCAGAGGAACACCCAATCGGAGCGCTCTCATTTTTTCGCCAACACAATATTTTAATAGCGAAAAGTTGACATGTGCCCGGCTGAATTGAGTCTTTGCGGCCCGGCTGCCCACTGTGAAACTCTCGCGGCAGAGTTCGCCGCCGCCGCGCGCCAGGTGACGCTAACCCTCTCAACTTTGTGCGCAAGCGCGATGAGCGGCGGCCCGTCTCTCCCCACGCGGACGGTTAATATTTGCTAAGGCAATTCACCAGGAGCAGATTAAAAATTAACATGTAGTTTTGCGTTTGGATTAATTTCTAATTTGTATGGCCTTTCACTATTTTAAAAATATCGATTCTAACTTGTTTATAATTTGAAGTTATCTTGGATAACCAATCAAGAATACTTAACATGAAATCAGGCATCTCCAATAACAATATTCTCTCTACAATGACAATCTTTTGTTTGGGCAAAATAAGGATTCTTTTATCCTATCGAAATCATAACATAATGCTACATAAGCCATTCAAGTTTTAAAGTAGTTAAGTTTCTTAAGCCTGAAATAATAAAGAAGATGTTTATCTTCCAGTAGAGGAAAGTTGGTGTTTTCCAAAATAATTACTTCGAAAGAGTAGATATGAAGAACACTAATTCACGCAGTGCATTAAATATGAAGTTATTCTTAAAATCCTTAACCGACTTCTGAAATTCATTGAAATAAAATTTAAAAAAGTAAGCAATTCCTTGTGTAGTGAATGTTTTACCTCCTCAATAAAACATAGTGACAGAGTTTACCACAATCATTGTAAACACTTGCCACAAAAACATTTTTTCTTTTTAACATTGTTTTAAATGCAATACCTGCAATGCACAATCAGTAGCAATAACTTTCTTTCACAACGCATCCCATAAGCAAACAAGAGAAATGGTACTGCTTGTTCCAGCGCAGGCCTGCCAATGAGCTGCAGTTCAGTGGCCAATGGAAATCCGAGGTGATCGCCTGGGCCACTTGCCTCCACCTTCAATTTCCCTTCTCTGTGTGCATTAGTCGCATAGTATTGCAACAGGTGCTTGAAATAAATTGCATATGAAACTGACATTACCCATTATTGCCCTAGAGCTACTTTTGGCAGGCCTGTTCTAGTATAAAATAGTACAGCAAAGCATGATTGCAAAATGTGTACTTTCAAAAGAACGAAGAACCCTCTTAGTGCTTTAATTAGTTGTATATTCCATAGAAAAAAATGTTACATTGGTAGTAACTTCAAAATGATATGAGTTATGACAGACAGTAATAAACTTGTTACATGCAATAACTCTTCACTTTTTCACGATACACAAATACATTTCATAATCAGAAATTATCATCAAATTACATATCATTCAAAACGAATACTTGTTGCGTTTAATACAGATATCTGTACCCGGAGCTCTTACAGAAACCTACATGTCAATTTTACGGAGAAGCCATTTTAATGCGCTGTATGCATACAGTAATGAAAATGATATTGTGTCATTTGACTGCTTCTGGCTAAGTAACTCAATGCCTTCTAAAAGCGATGAAATTACACTGAGTGTGCATTGCAAAAATGTTATTGTTTCTAGTCTCCTGAGGTCAGATATTCACGTAGAAAAGATTACGGTGAACGGCAAACACAATGGACTTAGCAAATGGATATTTTAGAAAGGTCCTAAATTTCAGATGCAAACATTAATATGATGGTTGAAATCTTTGATGTGCATTGAATGAAATAATGGAGGCCCAGAAAAAGATGATTTTTAA